GCGTTGTGCTCCTTGGCTCCATGCTCCTCGAGACACACCTGCGCGGCCAACCCGCTTGCGTCGTGCTCCTCGGCTCCATGCTCCCCGAGACACACCTGCGCGGCCAGTCCACCTGCGTCGTGCTCCTCGGCCCCACGCTCCCCGAGACACACCTGCGCGGCCTACCCGCCTGTGTCATGCTCCTTGGCTCCATGCTCCCCGAGACACGCCTGCGCGGCCAGCTCGCCTGCGTCGTACTCCTCGACTCCATGCTCCCCGAGACACACCTGCGCGGCCAGCCCGCCTGCGTCGTGCTCCTCGGCCCCACGTTCCCCGAGACACACCTGCGCGGCCAGCCCACCTGCATCGTACTCCTCGGCTCCATGCTCCCCGAGACCACGCTTGCGCGGCCAGCCCGCCTAAAAGTTGAAGCCATGCCTCAGACTCCCGTTACAACGACCGACGCATAGCTTCTTTCCGAGGGGGAATATGATGAGGATAGTAATTATGATAAGACTCGGCTGACGTCAGGTGATGCCTCACGCCTCGATCGACATGACAACACCTGGTCAATGCAGATCGAAACGCCGATCGAGGCACATTAACACCCTGCTCAAGCTCAATTCTTCACGCCACGCCAACACAAGTGTCAGACGATACCAGCTTGCCCCCTGCAAGCGGGCAGCTCAGGAAGCAGTAAGCTTCCCTATAAATACCCTCTCGTTCATTAGGAGAGGGGGGAGAAACAGACACACAAAAAGACTTCTTCATCTGAAACCCCCTTTGACATCTTCTAACTTGATCGTCGGAGGGGTCGAGTCGAGCTTCCCGACCCGACCTTTGTGCATGTGCGAAGTCGAAGGCCCCCACCGGACGTGCAGGCGAGGAGTTCCTGCCCGGAGGAAAAGGCAACCCCATCCCGATCGGATACCGCACCCGACCACCTCAACGGGCTCAAGGAATGCCCCAGAGAAATCCCCGTCGTCTGGATCCGAACCGAGCACCGTCGGCCCCGAGGCCACGGCTCAAGGTTGTTTCCCACGACACCTCCAAACCACTATTGCATCGTTTCGGCCGCCTTATCCAAGCAGTACTTGTAATCGTATGATTTGCCACTCCACGTTATCCACAAAATATAACCCATCTCTTCACTCGATTCAAACCACTCTCCCCAAATTTCTCTGCCTGTTTAGCTAACGTCGATCGCAGTCACGGATAGGTACAACTAACACACCGGTGCTTCTTTGCTCCTTCATCTCGTTCACTATATATGGCCATCTCCCTCTTAGCACACTTAGAACATCAATTGCAAGGGTCAATGAGTACGTTCTAACAGTTTTGTTCTTGTAAGGCACCTTCCACTGTCGGTGAATCCGTGTGCTCCATCGTCTTGCGTTGCCCCGTTGCCTACCTTCTCCTTCTCCTGTCGCGTGACAGAGCTCGGAGTGGCGCTGCCGACATCTACAGGAGGATAGGAGGGTTCCCACCATTTCTCTTCCACTTCTTCTCAAGAACTGTGCTCTCTAATGATGTTTGGATTCATGGCTCCTTTGTCTGTTCTTGTGTTGGTCTTCTTCTCTGCTCGAGGTATTGAAGTATCAGTTGGAGCTGTGTCATCTGTCTCTGTTTTGCTTCTGTGGTTTGGAATTGGTCACGCCTGTGTTTGATTTTGATTTCAGGTTGCTTGGCGGCCTCGTTCACGTTCGTCAACAACTGCCAGTACACTGTGTGGCCTGGCGTGTTGTCGAACGCCGGCAACGCGGCGCTCTCGACGACGGGGTTCGCCGTCGAGGCAGGCCAGTCGAGGAGTATAGAAGCGCCGGCAGCGTGGTCGGGCCGCTTCTGGGGCCGCACCCTTTGCGCCACTGACTCCACCGGCAAGTTCAGCTGCGGGACCGGCGACTGCGGGTCGGGCAAGGTGGAGTGCTCCGGCCGCGGGGCGGCCCCTCCCGCCACGCTGGCGGAGTTCACCCTGGGAGGTGGAGGGAATGGGACGGACTACTACGACGTGAGCCTGGTGGACGGCTACAACTTGGCCATGCTGGTGGCGCCGCAGGGCGGGTCGGGGGGCGGCGGGTGCGGCTCCACGGGCTGCGTGGCGGACCTCAACGGGGTGTGCCCGTCGGACCTGCGGGTGGTGCTGCGGTCGGGAACAGGTGCGAGCGAGAGCGTGGCGTGCAAGAGCGCGTGCGACGCCTTCGGGTCGGCGCAGTACTGCTGCAGCGGCGCGTACAGTAACCCCAACACCTGCAAGCCGTCGTCCTACTCCCAGTTCTTCAAGAACGCCTGCCCCAAGGCCTACAGCTACGCCTTCGACGACGCCACCTCCACCTTCACCTGCTCCTCCGCCGACTACCTCATCACCTTCTGCCCCGGCACGGCCTCCACCAGGTAAACAGTCGAATTAAAGACAAGAGATGAGCAAAATGATGCAGTTCGGAATTGGAATTCATGGCTCTTTTCCGCAAGACAACGCGGTGGACGTGGCCGATCGATCAACAACCAATGATTTGTCTTCACCCCTTGGCCTTTTAAGCATGACGTGCGATCGATCGTCTTATGGGCCTTTGAGCTGTGAGACAACAGCAAATGGGGGGGTCTTTACCAATAGATATTACACGTTAGGTTGATGCGACATTACAACGAACACATGCAAGCATAAAGAACAGTAGATAGTAGGCCGTCATGTCAGTCGAAATGGACAGGCCACATTACCCACGTAACGCGTTTGTTTCTCCTCAGCTGCTTCCCATACTATATTCCTTTCGAGTGATGCATTGATAATGCCGATGAGGTGTTTGTTATTATGTTTCACAGCCACAAGTCCAATCCTGATGCGACCGGCGGCTTGCCGAGGAACGAGGGGCTGCCATCCAACGACGGCGGAGCCATGGTGATTCTAGGCGGATACGAGTTCGGCCAAGCCTCACCGAGGGCGGCACGCGAGGCCGCGCTTGCCACCGTTTCGCTCGCAGCTCTTACCTCCCTACATCTCTTGTCATGGTGGCTGATTTGCTGAGCCTTCCATCCATCTCTTGTCGTTAGCGACGGGGACAAAGAATGATTCAGCTGGTGTTCGTCGTCGGTGTCAGGCTGCTCTATTGCCCACTTGTTTGTACACATATTTACATGAATTTGATGTGCGCGTGGCATGCATTAGATACTGCTCTGTCATCCCTACAAATTTGCTGGCGGATGTATGATGCGGATCGGGTTGATTGCAATCGGTTCGGGCCCGATACAGCTCGGGGACCCGAAGCCTGGATTCGGGTTGGCGCTTTGGCGGAGCTCACTGCCTGGACTAAACGGATCGGGCTGCACGAATCGAGGTTGACCATGCGACGCTGCATTGACCAGGACGATCAACCTGACCTTGTCAAAGGTCAATAGTCAACGTAAATTTTTCCCTAACTACTGAGCATTTGTCGTGGAGGAGGAGAGTCAAAACATTTCCTTGTTTTACGCATGATACTAAAATATGATGGTGATGAGAGGAAAAGTCAAGCACTCAATAAGCTTGTGCAGTGACTCGTTTAATTTTGCATAGGCTGCTCCTATATAGGAGACTTCAATCAATAATATTACATAGACTATTTATATGTAGAGACCAATTCATTCAGTAACATACATGTGTTCAGAGGCGCGACATGGCCAAGACATGCTCCTGCTGCGGCTCAACCTGGCGCGTACCGTGGTTGGGAAGATGGGTTTTGCTGCTCCCATGCGGCGGCCTCTCCGCCACCTTGAAGCGCTTAGCCATCTCCCTTAGCTGAAACTTTTGGATCTTTCCGGTGGAAGTCTTGGGCAGCTCCTCCACGAACACCACCTTCTTTGGCACCATGAAGCGTGACATGTTCGCCCTGCAGTATGTTATGATGGCTTCCTCCGTTGCGGTGTTATCTCCACCGCCGCATTTCTTCTTCAGCGTCACGAAGGCGCACGGGGTCTCGCCCCAGCGCGGGTGAGGCATCGCCACCACCGCTGCCTCCACCACCATGGGGTGCTTGTACAGCACCGTCTCCACCTCCACGCTGCTGATGTTCTCGCCTCCTGAGATGATCACGTCCTTGGACCGGTCCTTGATCTCTAGATACCCGTCCGGGTGCACCACCGCGACGTCTCCGGTGAAGAACCACCCGTCCCTCAACGCCTCGGCCGTGTCTTTGGTGTTCTTGAAGTAGCCTTTCATGATGCTGCTGCCGCGGAGGACGATCTCCCCGACGGACCGGCCGTCGCGAGGGACGCTCGCCATCGTCTTGGCGTTCTTGACGTCGACGTCCGCGAGTGTGAGTACGCTGATCCCTTGCCGCGCCTTGAGCCGCGCCCGGTCCTCGGACGGTCTCTGGTCCCACTCCGACCGCCACTCGCAGACGAGCGCCGGCCCGGTCGCTTCTGTCAGCCCGTAAGCGTGCGTCACCTTGAACCCCATGCGCTCGATCTTCTCGAGCAGCGGCGCCGGGGGTGGGGCTCCGCCGGTGAGCACCTGAACGGGGGAGGCGATGGGACGACGCTCGGACAGACCGGCCTCAAGGAGGATGGTGAAGACGATGGGAGCACAGCACATGTGGGTGACACGGTGGTCGGCGATGGCTTGATACATCTCGCCGGCCGACGTGTTGCGGATGCACACGTTGACGCCTCCGCGGGCGGCGACACCCCACGTGAACGTCTACCCGTTGCAATGGAACATGGGGAGTGACCAGAGGTAGACAGGCTCGCTTCCGACCCCCCACTGGAGAAGGAGGCTGATGGTGCTTAGGTACGCGCCGCGGTGGCTGTAGACCACCCCCTTGGGGGCGGACGTGGTGCCGGAGGTGTAGTTAAGGGCGATGGGATCCCACTCGTCCTCGAGCTGGGGGAGTTCCTGAGTAGGGTTGCCGCTAGCGACGAGCTGCTCGTACTCCAGCTCTCCGAGCCGAGTGCCGGTCGGTGTGTCGACGTCGTCGATGACGACGACCAGTGGCATCTGGGGAGTGTCGGGGTCGGCCATAAGAAGCTTGAGGGCGTCTACGGCAAGGGGGACGTACTGGTAGTCGACGAAGAAGACCTTGGCCTCGGAGTGCTTAAGGATGGTGGCGACGTTCTTGCAGTCGAGACGAGTGTTTATGGTGTTGAGCACGGCGCCAGCCATGGGCACGGCGAAATGCATCTCATACATGGCCGGAACGTTAGGTGCCAAAACCGAGACCTGTTCATGTATACCAAGTCAGAAACTTCCTGCAGCTTTAGCACGAGAAGAAAGCTTAAGGAGATGATCACATAAACTTACCACATCATTCTTGGAGATGTTCAGCAACCGGAGGGAGGAGGCGAGACGGCGGCAACGCTCGTAGGTCTGCTTCCACGTGAAGCGTGTGCGCTGGTAGACGACCGAGGTGCGGTCGGCGTAGACGCCAGCTGCCCTCTCTAGGAAGGTAACGGGGCTGAGGGCGACATAGTTAGCCGGGCACTTCTGCAGGCGATCCATCACTCTGTTTTAGATCTCAGGAGTGAGAGAGGGGGGAAGGTGGCAGAGGTTAGAGACGGACGCAAAGGGCTCAGATTACTGGGGAAGAAAAGGGAATCGTGATGAGCACACGAGGAGTCGATGTGGGCTTTATATAGGCAACGACGCAGCGAACTTGTAGCGAAATTGTAGGGGAAGTACATGCGAAACCATAGCGCATGCTAAGGGATTGACCGTGGACTGTTGACCAACGATGCTGTACACCGCATGTGGTACGACAGCTGACTGACTGATTCAGCACTGAAAATTTTCAGGGATCATGGACATCTCGCAAGCGTGAGGCCACATCACCCCTGGAATCTTTCAAGGTGCTCCCATCCATCTTCTTCGTCGTCTTCTTCTTCTTCTTCTTCTTCACTTAGTTTGGTCATCCGCTTTCGTGATAGCTTTCAGCAATGGCTTTTGGACTGCAAAGACTGGTGGAATCCAGTCCTCCCCACAAAGATAAGGCGTGACTCCCTCCGGCTAGACCATGGAGAGATCTGATCACCTTTATCTGATGCACTGGCCATTAACGGAGGATGGCAGAAGACCATCGTTCCTAAAGAGGAATCAATGATTTGAGGCATCGCTGCACTTATTTCCATCACAGTAGCAGGACGACCAATCCATTCGGGCTGGTGGCATCAATGCCAAGCTTTTGAGAGAGAAAAGAACAGTGTCCACTGGTTAATCTTTTGCTGCATTACAAGTAAATATGCTGAACGGTGGAAGCTCAATTAAATTTGCACCCCTCGATTAAAACACTAAAGGATGCTACAGTTTGCATGCCAATGATTGCTACCTCAGCAGCCATTGATGTTTCTATCCATGCTTTCCTTGCTACACTTAATATATGTTCTCTGTCAATTATAATTACTTGTTGAATCATGATATCTAAGGATTAGGTGTAACAGTGTGAATCAAAGTAACGAGGAAACACGGATTCCTATTATAATATATGTTCTTTGTTCCAGTAGTTGGATTTGGGATAACCTGGAAGAAGTGAAGGAAGAGAGTGTAGACTTGTGGCCTGGGAAGGAGGAGGAAGTTTCATTTCATGGCTATAGAAATTGACCTGAGGAGGATTACATTATGAATTCAAGTTTTCAAGCTTGAAGACTTCGATAGCTAGTTGGTGAGTTGACTTCAATTTTTATGCTCGTTTGAAGTCAAACCCCGGGAGTTGAAGTCAACACGCTGGTTGGGTTGTGTTGTGAGAGGATTCTGGTCAATGGTCATGGAGGTTCACACAAGCTCAAGGAAAGAACAAGGAATAATAGCTCTACCTCGGAAAACTTGTGGATGCTTCCTCAACATGTTTAAGAAGACAGGTCGTTGGTCAAGTATCTTAGAACATACAATTAAAGCTCAAAGTTCTTTTTTTTTCTTTTTTATTTTTTGAACATCCGTAGCATAAATAGATTATAGGAAGAAGAAGTTCGTGAAAATACATAAACATAAATATATGCAATAGTCGAAGATATAGGATGATTACCATTAGTGAAATGAAAAGAGATCGAAGAAGACTTAAAAAACAACTTTAGTATAAATTATAGATAAAAATTTTAATATTTTAAATTTAATTAAAAAAATATATTTTATATCTCGATGACAATAACGATAAAAGATACATATAATCGATCCTAAATATTTAAGATATTTGAAACTTATAACTTTAAGTATTCTTCTCTAATATTAACACTAAATGTGAACTGTTCACAAAATCATGATGTGAAATGGGAGTTGAGAGAAAAATCCACAAATTATGATGTGAAATATTCTACATTAATTGCACCATGGCAATCAATGTGAACATTAAATCAGTCAAATTCCAACAAAATTGGTCAGTTGACTATCTGCTTAGGTGTCAAATCATGACAAAGAACTATTTCATCAATAGACTGATATGGCTAACCACATGTGATTAGGGGTAAAACATTGTAAAAAGAATCCTCTCATGTACAATATTACAACCTCTTTGCCAATGCTTTTTCTTACATGAAAGAAAGGATCATCAAACATTGAGAAAACCCATATGGGAACAAAAACTAAAATTATATAGAGGTTTCCTGTGAATTGTTTTCCTTGTATGTATAGCCTAACTAGAAAAACTAATTCCTAATTCCAAGTTAGGAATAAAATAATATAAATCAATTAATTTGTAAAACTAAAAAAATAATTAAATCTTTCCTAACTAGCAAACTCTCTCTTCTCTCCTCTTCTATTTAATGATGGGTAGGTTTCTTATTTATCCTCCTCAGGATATTGTGAGATAGAAATATCTTCGTAGAGACGAGAGA